TTGGAGACATTAGGATGTACCTTGGCAGCTTCTGCATAAGACACACAATTTTGGGCCATATATGTTTTAATTTGTTTTTGCCTCATAAACTCTGGGCAAGTTTTGTTGGTAGCAAAATGGAAACCAGTACATAAACAACAACTAGCATCCTCCTCTGCAGTGCCACAAGAGTCACCAGAGTGGTCTTTACCACACTTGTAACATCGAGGACTTGATCTGCACTGTGCCCTTGTGTGACCAAAACGACAGCAATGATAGCATTGTATTGTGGGGAATATATATAAATCTACATTTAAAGCATTATAGCATAGAAAAACTCTTTTTGGAAGGACTTGTCCATCAAATGTGATAATGACTGTCTGAGATGGCTTCCATGTGGGATTGCCTTCAACAAAAGTTTTGAAGTTCATTCTTCGGACTTTTATTATATTACCACATCCTACAGGCACAGATAAATTAGCCATGACCTCTTCAGGAGACCACTCAGCAGGAACACCTCTTACCAATCCCATTCGTGTTACATTAAATGTAGGTATAAATGCTTTAAATTTGTTCTCCTCAAGTGACTTGTTATTTAGAAAGGAATTGCAATCTTTATAATTAGTAAAACCAATAGCAATTTTATTGCGACCTACTTTCTTGACACTTCCGTTAACAATATTTGGGAATCTATTTTTCTTTAAAAAATTGCCAAACTTCACAGGGTGAATCGTGAATTTATCATCAGGGGATGTTAATATTTTTTGGACGTGAAGAATGAAAGGAGCTACGTCAGTCTCACAGTAATTTTTCCGGCCAATTGGGGTAGATGAAGGTAAACTCTTTTCATTTGTTGTATTAGCAGTTATATTTGTAGTGGGCTTTGAAGACTCTGGCATGGGTAATGGAACTGATGGAGGAGTAAGATCTGATTCAGATGTACATGAACAACCATTTATTTTAGCTTCAGAGTTACCATGTCTCCTTCTTTTTTTGTTGCAGTGTTTACAAATAATATTTGAGCGGCGACTCCGCTTTAATGTCCTATTGGAGGTGGATGCATCAGTATCCATTCCAGATTCCGACTGCACAGTGACAAAATTACCTGCCGGGGGAACGAATCCCCCCGGGTCATCGGGGGGATCGTTCATGACGGTAAAAAATTAGTAAGAGGACTTACCAATGATCCAAATATGTACACAATATATTAAATAATAATTAATATTTACAAAAATATACAAAATGTACCCTTCTGATCGAAAAATTAATATATAAAGTTTTTCACCATAAAACGCGTCTACCAAGTTAAACGTTTCCCGCGCTTTTTCCGGTTAATGTTACTCACCACAGATTACAGGATTTTGTTGCCATATCCAATATTTACATTTCGCGACTTGGTCAAGTTTGCCCGTCACGACAGATATGTTGTCAAAGGTTCATTTAAGTCATAATGGTATCAACAGTTCCATTAAATTAGCAAAACAAAATATCTTTTGGCCAGGCATGTCTGAAGATATTAAGAACTTTATTGAAAAATGTAGACTTTGTATGAAATACTCACCATCTCAAGTCAGATTTCCAATGTTATCGCATGATATACCTACGTACCCCTTTCAGTATGTATCTATGGATGTTTTTAATGTAAAAATTAATTTACAGTCTTTAAATTTTCTTATAACAGTAGATCATTATTCAAACTTTTATGAAATAGATAAAATAAAGGATCTGTCATCTAGAGAAGTTTGCTGAAGATTGGGATTTTGTTCAGGTGACCTCTTCACCACATTACCCACAGTCAAACGGGATTGCTGAAGCTACGGTTAAGTTTGCAAAGAAGCTCATTATTAAATACTGTGAAGCTGGTGATGACTTTTGGATCTCTTTATTACACCAAAGAAATGTCTCAAATAGTGAAGATGATTACAGCCCTGTACAGATTTTTTTGTCTAGAAAAACTAGGACTCTATTACCATGTACTTCAGAGCAACTGGTTCCTGTAAAAAATTGCAAAGTTCCTAAAAATTGAGATTGAGAAGAGAAAAATCAAAATACTTTTATGATAAGAAATGCAGAAAATCTTATTCCTTAACAACAGGTCAGAATGTGGCAGTCCAAATAAGCCCAGAAAGCAGCAACACATGGAAATTAGGAGTTGTTGTTGAAAAAGTGAAAGATCATATAAAGTAAATGTAGATGGTGTTATTTACAGACGGGACATAACACATATAAAACCCTATAAAGGATCAAGCGAAGAAACAGTTTCTGAGAAAAATAATGTAAGGAAAGAAAGGAAAAGTGTGTCTATCAGTGATGCTAATAAGGACTGTGAATTAAATAACAAACAAAATAGTGATAATATAGATTATGGTTGTGATTTAGTTATTAATGACAATAATATAAACTCTAGTGTAACCTCTTGTCCAAGTGAATCAAATATAGATATTTCTAGGCCTGTACGATCAAAGGGTATCCCAGTAAGGTACAGAGATTATACATTGTACTAAATATTTATTTGAGATCTTTGTTATGGTTAAAAAGTGATAATAATAATTAAAGGGTATTGATTTGTATGATGTAGGTTCATATATGATTTCTGATTATGTAAAATAAGGTACTGAGATGCTTGTTAAAACAGACAGGATGTTCTGTGTAGTACAGCTTAATAGATGCTTTTAGTCTGTGGCTAATATGTAGCCAAGATATGCTAACCTGTGTGACTTTTACTTTTGACTCTGGCTCTTGAGATATGTAACCATTTTATATTATCTTGATTCCTATTAAATTAAAAGACATTGTTAAGTGTAACAAGTATTTAATAAATCTGTTATATCTTGGAGTATATGGCGTACTTATTAACACACTTGAAACTTCTGTTTTTACTGGTGAATGCTACGGATTTTTTAAAGCTTTAGAATATATTTATCTGATGAAATTGCATAAATCTGTTATATTTTCTGATTCTAAAAGCGCGCTTCAAGCACTTCAAAAATTTCCTTTTAAATATACCAATCATCCTGTAATTATAGATTGTAGAAAATTGCTCTGGGACTGTCATTTAAAAGGTTTCGATGTAGTTTTTGCCTGGATACCTAGTCATATAGGTATTTCTGGCAATGAAATTGCTGATAAACTTGCCAATGATGCTGTGGATTGTGGAGATATTTTATAGGTAGGTCTTCCTAATTCGGATCTACGTGAATCTTGGGAGCAAGTATGGTCTGTTTCTAATAAAAATAAAGGAAAGCATTACTCACAAATTCAAACTTTCATTCCTACAAAGCCTTGGTTTTGTAATTTTAGATTTAGCAAGATAACGACCTCTATCAAAACTCGGATGAGACTGGGTCATGTTTGCACTTCTTCTCATCTGGCCAGATTAGGAATAGTTAATAGCAGTAAGTGTAATTGCGGCGCTGATATTGGCGATTTAAACCATATTTTTTTTGCCTGCTCCTTAAATGACTGTTCCTCTTTTATTGACTCCATAGAGAAAGGTAAATATACCAAAAGGATTGACTCCTTAACATCCCTTCGTACAGTTTGTCTATAAAGTCGTGACATGAATGTTTGAGGAACTAACATTATTCATGTATCTGGCAACACCAAACTTATGTACATCAGCTGTCATCGAGTTTCAGTTGTGGAACAGTTTTCCTTTTGTATTTTTTATTGTTTGGATTAAACTGTAATAAATTAAGACGAAACTACGCAGAAAGGTATAAAAATGAGTAAAGTAAATCGGAGTAGCACGCGGGAAGTGATTTTTAAAATTTTCCAGCGATGTTTCGAAGACTACCAAGCTGGACGAATTTTGTGAGATTTGGATGATGTTTATGGGCGAACAGCATCTATGACGGGTATGTAATCGTGTAACGATTTGTTTGTAATCTGCCTGAAGTTACAAATTTACTCAATTTACGATTTTGAGATCAAAAAAGGCATTGTTTACATTGCACATTTTTAGGTTAGATTGACATTGTAAATAGGTAATATTGTAGTACGACTATTTCTTTTGATATGTTATTATGGTTAAACTCGGTCAGATTTTCTACCAATTTTGAATTAATTGCTTCATGTCAATAAGTTATTGTTTCTATTCCGTTACCATATTTTTTTACCTTTTTTCAGGAAAATCAGAGAGTATAGTTAAGCGGATAGTCAACGAAGGTTTTAAGAATAATGGAAAGTTTGAAACTCCTGGGAAAACAGGCAAGGCCGACCAAAGAAAGAAATGGTCACATAAAGAACCATGGCCAGATGCTTTTAGTGAAGATACCTATCACTAATTTTACTAACTGCACATTTACAAATTGTTTCTTTAAATAAACTTTTTATATACTATAAAAAAAATTTTAGTATTATTTTCTTAACAAGTGTGTTAAAAAACGTCGTATGATGATACTTGTGTGTATTGATGATTACCTCACGGCTCTGGTCTCAATGGCACCTCAGCGGTAATCACCATCATTACACACTTTTACACTATAAAGTACTATTTTATCTATAATAATTTTATTCTGATACAATTAAATATGCTTGGTTAATAAGCATAGGTACCTACTATTTATATAAAACAGAAACAAAATACGACTGTACAGTGTGTCTTAATTACCTATTTTACTTGAATGAACCGCTAGTATCAAAACCATTTTGGTCCGACTGTATAGGGTTGCTACATGCATACTAGAGGCGCCATCATTTAATGTCACTACTTTTAGACAAACTATACTCCTCTCCCGACTTCTATAAATACATACTTTGCTATATTCTATGAAATAAGATATTTATTTATGTATTTCAAATTTTATCCTTAAACATAATATTAAACTGTAAATATGTAAATACTTACCTGATCCTTACCTAAAAAAATCCGTTCCTTTTTTTGATCCTGTTTCCCTACCTTTACATTTGTATGTGGCTGACGCACAAACCGTGCAGGCTATAAAGGAAAAAAAAAACGTTTTCTCCTATTAGTCTGTGTCTTAGACGAAGAAAAGTAAAAAGCTTTCTTACTCTAAGGTCTGTGTACTTGTGTAGTAAATGGAGTAAGCTGTGTGTGAGATGTGTGAGATTAATGAATCAGACAAAAATGTCTTTTGATAAAAAGTAAGAATTTATCCTGTATTTCATTAAAATAGTCTTTGATTTATGATTAATTTGCGATGTACGTTACAATTACTATTCTTTAAAGCTTTTAAGAGTGTTATTTCTTTTTAGGTTATATGGGCTTATCGTTCCTGATAAAACAAAACATCAGAATCCCATTTTTCAGGCTTCAAGAAATATATTTGGAAATGATTCTGAATCAGAGGATGACTCAAATAAAAAACCCGTTTTACTGCGACCTAGTGATAATATAAACAGACAGGTCTGTATTAGATTTTTTTGAAGTGAAACTTCTTTACGCACGCTTGACTTAAAAGGTAAGGGGGTAAAGCTGGCGAACGCGTTACAAAAAGTGTGTTCGGGCGAGGCGAACGGGAGTTGAGCGGGGGATATAAACAAGAGAGTGCGCGCGCACATTTTCTTTTTTTCTTTCTCATAAAGTTTTCCATAAAGATTTCCCATAAAGATGGAGCTAAAGAAGTTTCGGTACTTAATTCCATTATATGTAATTGAATTTCGGGGTAATTTGTAGGGGAGGGGGAGGGGGAGGGGGGCTCCCCCCGACCCCCCGCCATAAATGATTTTTGGCGGAAATGCAGTTTTTTTTTTTTACCTAACCTAAAAATTTATAAAATCTTTTATATGTAGTGGAATTTCAGGGGGATAGGTATTAGGGAAGACCCCTCAGAGGGAAGGGTAACCCCACCCCCTCCCGGCTTTTTTTTACAGAAATGATAATTATAAAAAATTAGAGGAGTTTTAAAGGTAAATCGGTACTTCCAGCGCCTAGAGGTGATATTTGATTTTTCTGTAGAAAAAGTCTATTAACAAATTTTTCTTTCTGGCACTTCGCCGGCCGCTACCGCGGCACGCTCGCTTCGCTCGCTCGGCTCGCGCGTTAAGGTCACAACACTAACCTAACCTAGTGTGAAGTATCACCACTTGGGCCTTAGATATACAGTTTAGCCGTTTAAATAAAACAAGTTTAAACACAAACACTGACTGACAGATCTCATTAATGGTGGTAAATTGTCACATTTTGACAATAGTACCAACATAATAACTTATATTTACCATAGACAACGAGAAACATGTTATTTTTGCATAAAAAAATGGCAGCACTGATCATGAAAATTGCGAAAAAAAAAATGTTGTCAAAATTGACTCATAACCTACAAAAATATTAATTTTCAATAATTTTTTTCTCGAGTTCTATTCGTTTCCGCCAAAAAAGATTTCGTGTACGTGTTTTTAATAGTTAATACTTTGCGTGACAAAAATTTCAGCTTGCAACTCAATTACATATAATGGAAAGGTGAGCCGAAGTTTCACTTTAGTTGTGTGGTCTTATGCACACTCGTTTTTTTAAATTACAATGTAGCAAAACTGCAAACAAAATTTATTGTATTTATTCTAAGTCCATTGAATACCTATCTTTGTTATAAATTACACCATTTTAATAAAAGAGTTGGCAGTACTAGCAAAATATGTCATGAAAGTTTATATTTGTTCATACAGCATTTTATCAGAAGATTAGTGTGAGAGAAATTATAAAATAAAATTAATATAATCTAAATATATATAAATCAATTGCTGTCCATCTGTCTGGCTAAAACTGTAGGATGGCTAGGTCAATTTTGCTGACTGGTTTTGATTAGTTTGTCATAGTCCAGGAAAGGTTTAAATGATGAGAAAATAGGGAAAAATTGAGAGGAACATAGTTAAAACCACAATTTCATTTCCCATATAAAAACTGTTTTACCTACTTTTCTGTCTTTCTGTTGACATTTGTCCCTTCACTACTGTATTTTGGGTCCATTCGATATTACCATATTTAATCGACTGCTAGGTGGCATGAAGTTCGCTGAGCTAGTAATAATAATATTTCTCACACTTACACCAATTATTAGCCTAGTCCCAAAGTAAGACTTGTGTTATGGGATAATAAGGTAACGCATAGAATACATTGTCATATATAAATAAAGAGGTTTTTATGTGGAAAAAACCAAAAATGAGATTTAAAGCAATGTGGATATGTCGAAATAAAATTAAAAAAGTGTTCGAGTGTCAGACCTACTTCAATAGACTCACCAGAAGGGCATTGAACTATTTATCGCAAGGGGGGGTTGCAGCAAAAACCAAACTCACTTTGGGTTGTCTATATATTAAAATTTCCAACTATTTGCCAATGATTTTCTTGAATTTAGAAGCTAGGTCCAATATCATCATATCGCACCTCCTGTGCGATACTGTCACTTATGCAAAAACAATTTTATTTCAGGATGAGCGTTTAAAACTTTAACATCCCAAAACATACAATATTTAAAAAAAATTACGTGATGAAAAGCTTATACAGCTTAGCTATTCATTTAAAAAAATAAAATAAAAACTTTAAATATTGTATGTTTTGGGATGTTAAAGTTTTAAACACTTTTGAAAAAATGAATTTTTTGCATAAGTGACAGTGTCGCACCGGGGCTGCGATATATTTATAATATTTACCTAAATTTAACAAAATGGAATAATTTTATCTTACCAGAATTAGTATGTACAGAAAATCTGTTTATTATGACTGCCTATATTGACCAACTGCCAACAGACACAATACAGACAATACAGCTCAGCCATACAGACTCGGGAGTGGACATGCCGTTTTGCTCGCACTCACTCAGTCTTAATTAATAAAGGGATATTTTTAAATGCACAGCAAATAACTTATTACCAATCAAGTTATTTACAGCAATTAAATAATTTTTACATCAAAATAATTATTTTACTGCAAACAAAACATTTCGTGAACAAAACTAGTGCTGAAAATAATTCAAAAATATTCATCAAATATGTAGTAGCAAAAAACTTGTTTAATTGTACAGAAATATGATTTTCATATCAAATATACCGCACAGCAAATATACTGATTGCATTGAAAATTAACCAGGGCTTCGACGTAAAATACTCACACTCAACAAAACAACTATTTTTGCAACCATTATAGCATTTCAAAACTTGCTCAACATTGGAACACTTCATGGTTATAAAAAAAAGTGAGTGTGCTTATGACCACCCGACTGAAGTGAGTTCTTTAGCTCCAATGATCTGTAAATCATAAACTTAACCTGAAGATTTGTTGATAAAAAAAACCACCAATCCCGATGGGTCCGTTATCACCCTCCAATCCGCACTGGGTCCATTATCACCCAACAATCCGCGCTGGGTCCGTTATCACTCCCAATCCGCACTGGGTCCATTATCACCCAATAATCCGCGCTGGGTCCGTTATGACTCACCAATCCGCAGTGGGTCTGTTAACATCCACCAATCCGCGCTGGGTCCGTTATCATCCTCCAATCTGCATTGGGTCCGTTATCATCCACCAATCCGCACTGGATCTGTTATCACCCACTAATCCGCACTGGGTCCGTTATCACCCACCAATCCGCGCTGGGTCCGTTATTACCCTCCAATCCGCACTGGGTCCATTATTACCCACCAATCCGCGCTGGGTCCGTTATCACCCACCAATCCGCACTGGGTCCATTATCATACACCAATCCGCACTGGGTCCGTTATCACCCACTAATCCGCGCCGGGTCCGTTATCACCTACCAAGCACTAGATTCATGTATTTTGTGACGGGTATTGTTCATTGTTTACCGATGAGTCACCAATGACACTAATCATAACGCGAAATCGTAACACATTCGCCAGTTTACTCCCCAAGTCAAGCGTACGTAAAGAAGTTTTACTTCAATAATTAGATTCTTATGTCAATTAAAATGGTGTTTCACTCAGGTAAACTGGTGTATGAGATAAAAATATGGCAGCTTTGTTTAAAAAAAATGATGTTAATATATTTGTTTTGAGGTGGTTATTATTAGCTATGCATTCTTAAAAAAGCTTTAGTTTAAAATAAATAGCGATGCAACACGAACTTAAATTGTTACATATAACAATATTTTGAAGTGATTTTTTGCTGTGCAATAAGAATTTTTGCTTTTAGGATTGGGAATTAATTTTTATACAAAATGATAATTTATCGATTTGCACTTCAATACTAGCCATAAATAAATATTATTAAAAATCTGATATTATTCCTCACTTAATCTTTGTAAATAAGTAAGTGTAAGCTGTTATTAAAGAAAAACTTTTTTGCTCACTCTACCTAACTGGTTTGAATTGACAGCTATGACGACACAATATGGCGCTCAGTCGGTCCTATTCTTAGTTGAATCGCATTGTAGGTTGTCAAATAAAAATCATAACACAATTTTGCTACATACCTTGCAAGCAGGGGTTCCTTTATTTTTTGATTATATAAAGAATACCATTTTTGTAGGCAAAAATAGCACAAAATAAAGCAATTTCTGACGATCCAACAGTTTTTTTATATGATGAAGTTTATGATGACATGAAGACTAAAGAAGAGGAAAAACATGATAAAAAGAAAATTGATAAAAAGCCAAGATACATTGAGAATCTCTTAAAATCAGCACAGAAGCGGAAGATAGAAAATGAAAGAAGAATTGAAAGACAAGTGAGTCTTATTTCAAATACATACCATGATAATTATTTATATTTATGCCAGTGGAGGCTTTCCCATATACCAAGATTCAGAATATGAAATTATTTAATTTTTAGAGCAAAATCTGAGCATTGTGGATCTGCATTTCGTTTATTTTTATATGTAATAGGAAACAGACTACTTAATCAAAAGTTACCAGTCAAAATTTGTATTTAAATAACCAGGCCTTGCTATCTACAGACAGGGTTTCACAGCTTTATGGCAAGTTTTGCATAAGGGTCCTGTTTATTTTTTATTAAGACCACAAATCTTTTTTTATATTAATTGCCAGCATAACAGTAAACTTATTGTGTTATTAAGCACTTCTTGTTGTCCTTGCTCTTTGTTTCTACCTGGCCCAAAAGTCTGTATCCGTGTATGTTAGCAAATAATTAAGCATCATCTGAATGTATCTCTTTTGTGCATTGTTTTGTAATATATTGTTTTATTGTTTGCTTGTTACTTTAGATCCAAAAAGAAAGAGAGGATGAAGGCAGTGAGTTTGCTGACAAAGAAATATTTGTTACATCAGCATACAAAAAAAAATTGGAGGAATTAAAACTTGAAGAGGAAAGAGAAAAAAGAGAAGAATATTTGGAAAAAATAGGAGATGTTACTAAACAGGGAGATTTGGGTATGTAGATTTGATTTCAAAATTCTATTAATATTTTTCTCTTTTCAAACTTTGAGTAACGAAAATATGATTATAATCATACCTACTGAGCGATTGCAAAAAATATATTATATTTTGTATAATTTATTGTTGTAGGTGGTTTTTATCGACATCTGTATGAACAAAAATTGGGTTCAGATAATAAAAAAGAACTAAAACAGCAAGAAAATATAGCTGAAGAATATAAAATAGCAAGTGATTTGGATGTTATTAATGTAGAAAAATCATGCCCGGCTGCAGCTTCACCAAAAAAGAGGAATTACAGAAAACGCAAATCTTCAAACGATACAAAGATTCTGCTGTCAGAAGGTGAAATTGAAGATTCTGATGAAGAAATAAACCGTCTTAATCTTGATGATATTAAAATGGCTAAGAAATGTAAACAAAGCAAAGAAAATCTAGACTCAGATTCAGACTTTTCAATTGATGAATCAAGTGATAATGATATTTCTACAAGAAATGAAGAAAAAAATGCAATTATTATCAAGAATTCTGATAGTGACGAAAAAAATGCACAAATAAACACAAATGTTTTAACATCTATTGAAAGTAATAATGCAGATAATATTTTGAATCAACCTAAGCCCAAAATTGATATTTGGAAAAAAAGGACTGTGGGTGAAGTCTTTGAACAGGCTTTGAAAAGATATTATGAAAGAAAGGCATCTAGAGGTGTTTAAATTGATCTTTTTAGTAATGTCCCCACCACAGGCACAGGACCTTCCCTTGAAGTAATTGATATATCTAGAGGATTCGCATTAACCTACCATGCTTAGCAGACAAAACTAGTTAATCACTAATTAGTTATAACTTGTTACGCAATAAAGGAATCCACAATAATGCACCCTTTTGAAGTTATCTTAGCAAGTAGAAAAATGCTATATAGGTATAGGCACTTCCAATACGCGGTATTAACAACAATATTAAATACCCTAGATACACCACGTGCGGTCAAAATGTGTCCTATGAAGAAGTGCTTGAATCCCACTCAAGCACTTCTTGGGTCACAGTAACGCACAGACCGTTGAAAAGTCAAGTTACTGCAGAGCTCCGTGAAAATATGCGAAAAAATACTAGTAGTATGTAAAGTGTCGTTTTTTCGACAGGTATAATGTTTGTTAATTTAACGTATTTGAAGAAAATTTTGGTCTTTTTATTTAATATGATTTAATAGAAAATATTTGTAATATTCAATTGCATGGTCGATTATACAGGGTGGCCGAAACATTGACGTCCAAAAAAAGTTAGGGTCCTCGTATCGTGGGGTATCCGAATCACCGCCCATGTATGTAAATTTCGGGAGTTTTCGACCTGACCCACTTAAAAAAAATCTTAAAAAAAGTAGACGGCATTTTCGTAATTTTTTTACAGAAGATTTTCAAAGTGGCTCCCTCCAGCAGCAATATACATTCTACACCTACGTAAAAAATGTCTTTCAATCATCTAAAAGCTCCTCTGTGTTCTCTCACTACACGTTAGGCTTCTGCAATCTTTTGTCTCAGCTCTTGTTCACTCGAACAGTGTCGGGCGTATGTTATTTCGTTGTAATAATTGTTAAGGTCAGGTGAGCGTGGAGGCCACCTAATTAGTCCGCTGCATCCGATCTATCTGTTGGGGTATGTTTCCTTTCAGTAATTTTGGACTTGCGTTGCGTTGTGACACGGGGCACCGTCATTTTGAAACACCATGGTTCGTCTACGCTCGAGGCTCACATCACCCAGCAACAATGGAAGTTCATTTTCTAAGAAGTTTCTGTAGGTGATTCGGATACCCCACGATACAAGGGACCAACATTTTTTGGACATAATAAATTCATTTGAACATAATTATTTGACTGCAAACAAAACATTCGTTAAACATAACTAGTGCTAAAAATAAATCAAAAATATACATCTAATCTGTAGTAAATTTTTTCCCCTAGTGCTCGAGAAAAATCTTGTTTAATTTTTATATCAAATATACTGATTGCACACCAAATATACCGATTGCACAGAAATTTATCCAGGGCTTCGACGCATAATACTCACACTCGTAACAAAACAATTAATTTTGCAACAGGTTTCCCATTAAGTATTTCAAAAAAAGCTGAAGAAAAAAGCGTGGGCGCTTCATTATTAAATTTTGAATTATTGAACATTATGTATCACGTAATATATTAATTGGTTGATAAATATTCCAATGAAAAGCGCCCTTCGCTTTTTCAGTTATATATACAGGGTGGTCCAACTAGTGACGTCAAAATTTTTTTAGATTCCTCCCATCTGGGGGTATTCGAGAATACCCCATGTATGTTGCGCGATTTTTCTTAGTTTTCGAGTTATAAATTTTTTGTGTATTTTTAACGATTTCTGCCAGCCAGGTTTCAAAAATTCATATCATTTTTCGTAGTTGGTATTTTGCAGTCTTTTTTTTTTGTGACATAATAGGCTAGTTTACTCATGTCCAATTGTATTAAATAAATGTTTATATCTTAAAGTATTTAGTCTAAGGAACCTTAATATATCGATTTCACTTCATAAAAGCAGAAGATTGCTGTAGAAATTTAATTTAAAAAAATATTTTTTAGTCTATATTTTTAAACACTAAAAACGCAGCAGAAATCTGCCAAGAATTGACGCATTGATGGTTGGTGAATTTGTTGCAGTAAACCCCGATTTCTGCTCTGCGGAGCAGAGAAACGACAAGGCAAGTACAGTGCATTTAGTATTACAATGTAGTAATAAACATAAAACTGATACAACATATGAATAAGTGTAATAAAGTTGCGTAGGTTAATTTCTTTCGGTACTTTAATCCCACAACTTTCCTGGAGTCTTCAAGGATGTGTTTTTATATTCTCGTACAATACAGTAATGATAATTACTTTATTTTTCGTGGTATTTATTAGAAATCATGATTTTTTTTATTATAAACTCAGTTAAAAGTAATTTTCTACGTGTTTACAAGTTTTTGTTTATCACAGTTCACGTCATAGCATATATAATCTATAGACTAAAATGGCCGACAGCGTTTTTGTATGTCCATGAAAAGTCTATTTTAAAATTAAAGATTTGTAGCATTCTAGGTTTAAAAAAAATACAATACATTTTTTTTCGGTCTTATAGAACATTTATTAACCATTTAAAACCTTTTTCCAAAAAGGGTCAACTAGCCTACTGTCTTGAATGTTGTTTTAATAAAAAAACAAATAACTCAGCTTCCTGAAATTACTTAAAGTTACTCAAAAAAGGCTTTAGTGCTAGGCCGCACTACGGTTTTTTCCCGCAAGCGGTAAACCGCAAAACTAACACGATTTATCACAGTTTGAGGATGGATTTCAAGAGAGCTGTATGTATATTTGCTTTAATATTAAGAAATAGAAAAAGAAAACGTATAGCGCTGGTCTTTTCTGCACTTCTACTATGATTTTTGAAGATAAATTTTCATAATCTGGCTCGTTTGAAACACACTTCGACTCAGTCGACGACATAGTTACGACGCGATACCTACATACAACACAACGTCTCTTCACGGCGGCGCGGCGGTCTGACGAATATCATTCAACTTCAATTTAAAAATACAAAAAGGAGTTTCTATAGCTTCTGGTTAAGTTTAAAAACTCCGCATGCTTCTAAACTACCAAAAATCATAAAAAAAATGTACTTAATCAGCCTATTTTTGTTGTAATTGGCCTTCGAAGACGGATAGGCTAAAAGTCATTGAAACACGATTAAAGCATGAAAAATTATTTTATCTACTTTTTATCATTGTTAAGGTAAATTAAACTTAAAAATGTAGTTTCAAATTAAATTTAATTGAAATTCCTGTAAAATAACTTTAGCATGTGGAATTTTATAATAATTTCGGTTTCACCACGAAGATTTAAAATGTGAGTTAATCGTGTTCAATGTTGGATAAAAAACAGATGCAATACATAATAGCGACATATTTAATAAGCTCGGAAGGTCTTTTAAAAGAAAAGGTCCGTCGGCCGGACATGCCGCCCCAAAATATACAGGAACCGCCCCCGTATTCCACCGTCTCCTGGATGCAGGCTTGGGTGAAACGTTCCCCCTATCTTCTGTACACTCTTTTCGTCTATCGATGCAGAAAAAGCACACTCTTAACTCGTCTAAGAAGAGAACTGCTCTCCATTGGTTAAGGGTCCAATTGACGTGGTCGCGAGCAAACTACAAGCAGGCTCGCCGATGCTCTGCGGTCTATTTATTATTAATTTTATTTTGTTAAGGATAACAAACAGTTGTACAATACCTAGTCAGGTCATAAATTCTGTCACATGTTTAATATAAAATAGTTGAAACAAGTTTATTCATTATGTAACCATTTATATACCAAAATGAACTTAACAAAACATACATTCTTATGACAAAAAAGTTATATTTTAATTTATTCAAAATGACCTCCGTGATTTTGAATACAGGCCTTCAATCTGCGCGGCCAGTCGTCTATCGCAGCACGAACGAGGTCCATGTCAATATCGGCGGCTGCCTTAATCAAGAATGTCTTGAGTGACTCCAAATTGAGAAGAGGCTTCGAGCACGCCTTTTCCTCCAAGTGTTGCCATATCTTGTAATCTAACGGACTCAAATCTGGACTGGAGGAAGGCCAGTCTTCGTGCCGGATGAAGTCGATTTCACGCGCCGCCAGCCAGTCTTGTGTGCTCTTCGCTCTATGAGCTGGCGCCGAATCTTGTTGGAATACCCAGTGCCTGTTATTGAACATGGTATGAGAAACAGGTTCCACAAGGTTCGTCAAGACTGTATTTTGATACACAACTGCATTCGTTTTTACACGTTTCTCACAAAAATATACCTCTGTTAAGCCCCAATAAGAAAATCCCAACCATACCATGAGCGAGGATGGAAAATGACCTCGTTGGACACGCGGAATACGGTTGCTTGCTTCTTCACTACTGTGTGCGTACACCTTATCATTTTGTTTGTTGTAGCTCTCTTCTACGGTAAACATTTTTTCATCCGAAAAAAGAATTTCCCGATATTTTTTTCCCGCGTACCGCTTCAACAAAGCGCGGCATCTCTTCAGTCTCAGGTCCATTAGACGAGCATTCAAACGATATCCTGTTTTTCTTCGATATGCCCGAAGCCCTAGTCTTCATTTAACACCCTTTTCACCGTGGTCCTGCTTAACCCCATCTGAAGGGCCAACAGTTTCTGCTTATGTTTGGGATTTCTTTGAATTCTCGCCCTTACAGCTATTATCACTGCTGTAGTTCTAACAGACCGAGGGCGACCACTTCTTGACCTGTCATCTACACTAGAGTCTTCATTGTATCGTTTGATGGTACAATTAACGAATCTTTTGGTAATATTCAAATTTTTCAGTTCAAAAATTTGAATTGGCGCGTAACCGCAACGATGCAACGCAATAACTGCAACACGGTCTTCTTTAAGCATCCACTCCATATTTAAAAATGAGTAAAATTCTAAATTTAAGTGAAGGCTTACAATTATGTTAAACTTATTGTACTACCAACAACATTATCCACAGATTAATACTAGGATTGTTTTGTTTTATCTTTCAAATAAAATTCTCGTGTCACAATGTTAGTTACCATACTCCTCCGAAACGGCCTGACCGATTTTTATGAAATTTTATATGCATATTCCGTGGGTCTGAGAATTGGCTACTGTCTATTTTCCATATCCTTATGTGATAATGAACCTTGATAAGACCACACGCCCCGATCGGGGCGTGCTCGAAAAACACATCGCACTACCCATGGGACTATAAGCCGATTTTTGAAGTTATACTTCTTTAGGCGCGTTATGAAAAAATTATGAGAGTGAAATTTTAAGATGCGCGCGCATCACTGTAACACAAAAAATTAAACTTTTGTGTTTACCGCACATCTAAAAAAAATCTACCAACCAAATAGAAATAGAATCTCTATTTTGTGGGTGCTAACGACTGCATTGTGAAGGCCTATCAATAGTTATTTATTATACAA